TTTGCCTGATGAATTTTCCACATCATTAGCAACCCGTTTAACTGCAGTGATACAACAAAAAGGGTTGCCAAAGCCATGATTGAGGCACAAAAGTAATAACTCGGCTGTGTTTCGCCATCTTTGTTTTGTTTTTCTAATTTCGCGCCAAAACTCGTCCTCAGGATCTTCGGCCTTTTTCTCATCTCGGAAACCGGGCTGAATATTCTCATATGAACCCAAGGCGAAATTCGTCCTGGTAAGCGGGCCAGCCTGGTCAACCGGGCTAATATGAAGAGGCCCTCAGTGATTTCTTTCCTTTTACGTTCCTAATTACATTTTTGTGTTTTTGCACGCACATTTTTCTTATTGTTTTTTGCATTCTTTTAACTCACGGCGATTTGTATTGTGTTAGATTTTTTCGCATAATTCTGCTTTGTTTAATTTCATTCGTAAAAGTTTCTCAGAAAAAAAATTGAACATTAGAGTATCAGAGTGCATTAAGTTAACATCGATTCCTTAACTGCGATCATCTTTTAATTTTTCCGTCCTTCGTGCTCGCAAGTCACACAACGTTTGTAAGTGTCTTTTCTTGTCCGATTGTATTTCCTCTGTTGTTTTGCGTTTTTCTATTCCCTCTACTTCGTAATAACCTATAATTATTTGCCCCTTTTAGCAATCACGATCAACCGTAAAGTAATTAAATTTTAAAGCGTTCGCGTGTTGAAACCTGATTTTGTTGGTAGTCATGAACACCTTGAGTTATTCTGGGCTTTTCACCAAAAGAGGCGCGTAAAATTAGTGTAGTAATTCACAAGAAATTCAGGATATATTGCAAACTCACGCGGTAACTACAGCGGAAGTCATTTTTGTAACTCAATCATGCGCAGAAAAAGGAAGACGAAGAAAATTTCGAGCCAGAAGGCGAAAACGATTAATTATGGGTCAGCCACAAAATACTGTGGGGTTTTGTTAAACCACTTTTTTTTTCTTTGGGATAAATCAGAAGCGATTCAAAGAAACAAAAGTTAGGGAACAAGACCCTGGTCTAAAATGGAGTATTCTTTATATTCTCTGATATTTTTAGTTCTCTTTGTTTTTACGTCTGTCCGTATTTTCGGTGGCTAATGTATGTTTCCGACATTCATCTTGACCGATCGATTCAGTCTGTTTGTTCTGTAGTCCAGAGCAACCAAATAAACGAAAACCGCGGGATGTGTTTTTCTCGATTTCAGCTTGAGTCTGCGCTACTCGCTTGACGCTAGTATTCTGCAATTTGTGGTCTATGAAAACCCCTCCGGCTAACTTTTTTCTTAATTCACCTTAAGCAATTCTTTTCAAGGCTTGTTTTGAAACTCGTCGTTAAGAGGTATATCGACTAACATCAAAACAAGCCGTGTTTAGGAACCTGCATTGTCTTAAACTGGGCCGATATTGTAATGAAAAAGTTGCACGCACGCAATACTGGCACGTAGTATAACAATGACACTAAAAATTGGTCACCGTCGAACGGAGACACCTCATTGCAATAAATATCCAAAAACCTCATGAGGTTTATTAAACTGTGGGAAAATCTATGTCCTGTATACTTGTTATATACGAGAGATTGGCTTTATTAAAATGACCATAAACTGAGCTTACCTAACTAACATAAATATATTTTCAAAGAAACGGAAAAGCGTACTGAATACTATTTCTGTATTAGTTACTTTCGATTTCTGTATTAGTTACTTTCGATTTCTGTATTAGTTACCCGCTTTCGGGGTAATCTGAGAGGAAATTGTAACAGCTATTTTCCAAAGGACTATCCTCAGCCATTAGTTAAGGAAAGACAGTTGCCGAGTTTTTGTAATGTTTCTGTGGATAATATGTGATTTAACTGGCAAACAGGAAATTTATAATTCTATTTTCAGCCGTTAATAATGTCAATCTAAAGTCCACTAAACATGGCACGATTGGCTGAATTGGATGATTGGCATGCCTGAATGCGATCTGATTGGTTGAATTACCTCAACGGACACCACCTTTTAATATACGAGGGAATGATCGAGTTTATAGGGCCCTGCTTTATGTTTGGAAGCCATTCTCTCGTTGAAGAATACGAAGAGTCAACATGAAGGTTTTCGGTCCTGTTGTTCTGCTGGTCGCGACTTTTTTCTCCCCATCTAAAGGGGACAAGTCAATGTACAAAATGGAGTCGTACGATAATGAAAACTACAAAGTGATGTGGAAATACGACATGCTCAAGGACGAGTTTCTTTTTAACGTCACCGTGAACGCAACCGGCTGGGTTGGCTTCGGTGTGTCGGAAAAAAAAGGAAACATGATGGGTTATGATGTGATGGTGGGAGGTTTCTCCAACAATTCCGGTTATGCAAAGGTGAGTGTCTTACCGTGAAAGAAACTATGACCTAGATTTCAAGTCGAGCACTTTCATTTTGTATCAGGAAATGTTAGAGTAACAGTTTTCTTGAGTTACAAAACAAAACAAAACAAAAAAAAAAAGCCTCGGAAACTCGATAACATCATGATTTAGGACTCAAGGATCATTCGAAAGGGACGACGATTGCTCAAGAAGTTTTGGACTATTTTCTCTCAACTGGTAGTGAGGTTTGCTTTCGTTTGACAAGTTGACAAAACAATTTCTCTCCAAACCATAACTTACGTTGGCAGGTGACAAAAGGGAACATGATAAAAAGAGATTCGGCGTTTTTCTTAGTTGCAGAGTTAAGGCAAACAAAAAACACCTGATCATAACAGTTGCCTGGTAATCAAGTGATTACTAAACTTATTAAATGACCGAAATTAACCGTATTTTACTTCTCTCGGGGCCAAAGAAAATTATTCGTGAGAACAAAGTATGTAAATTTGTTATATTTACCTGTGCAAGTACACAAAAGGCTTTCTTAGTTGTTGTCATTCGCATCAACAAGCTAAAAAGAAAACCGGCCAGGCCGTCATGTTATTACTTCATAGCAGTTTAGTCCCAAATGACTGTGTGAAGCAACATCATTTTAATTTCACATCATTTTATCGACAGGATTATTTTACGACAGGGAAAATGATGCCGATGCCAGATAAAGTACAAAATTACATGATGATGAGCGCCTCGGAAATGAACGGCTACACAAACTTGGTGTTCTACAGGAAGAGGGACACTGGTGATGCTGAACAAGATGTAGTAATTAAGGTGAGATAGATAGAGATTCCACTCAAAATCTATCGACACACGCTCCCTAACTATAATGACATGCATATCATTAAAATTACTCAATGCCACGTCATGTCATTTTGATAATTTCCGCCGGCTGAATATTGGTAGAGCGTGAATATTTGAAAAAGGAACCTGTGTTCGGACTTTACTCATTCGAAAAATTTTCTACTCTTTGCAAAGAGTTTAAATCACCTTGAATTCCTTCCAACCAGGGAACGTTGACAATTTTATACATTTGCCATTGTTTTTGTTCCCTAAACTTTGCCTTGACGAGAAAACCGAGCGTGTTTTTGAACTGCGTGAAATTCTTGATACTTTGGCTAGAGTCATGCAAGGCCGATTAAATTTGTTGTGATCGTGTGATCATTACGTCTGTTTGGTAATTATTAAAGATGATTAAGAAAAGAAAGACACCACTGACGTAAATAACTATGTAAAAATATTGAGGTTTGTTTTTGTTTCAATTGTATAGGTTTATTTTTGCCCTCAAGGTATATTTGCTTAGGGTTCTATATCATCCTTTTTTGACATGCAACATAAATTGGTAACAACTTCCAAAATGACTAACATGTTCAATTTCTGGTGCAGGATAGCAAAAACTTCTCTTTCCGTCAATTCGCGAAACTTCTCCTGTCACCACTCCTTTGGTCCACTTGAACACTCATAATATCGCAAAATATCTACAGGACAATTAGACCCTTTGATTCAAGAAATGGTGGGAAAAACTGTCTTTGAATAAAAACTTGCGAAATTGCTAAATGGCTCGAGACTTTTAACGATCAAAAAGTGTTGCAGTTGAATGAAACGTCAAAGCTTCCTTATTTGCGAAGTGTGATATTGAAATTAAGGGCTTCTTTGTCCGTCCTACCAATATCAAACTTCCAAAACAATTGCCGCTTATTAAGTGACGCAACAATTAATATCGGACCTTCAGGGAAAAACAGTTGATATTAGACTTATGACGATGCATAGTCACCGCTTATTTAGTTAGTATTTGCGTGTCACACGCCTCGCTTCCAGCAGATGAAAGCCGGCGGGAAATCAGATTTTTAGATAATGGCTATTCTTAAGCCAACCATCTTTTGATCATTCGGTTCATACTCTAGTAGATATCTTTGAATATGCAGCCTGGCTTTTTACCAATATCCAATCCATCTATCAATTTTATGATCTACAACATGCAAGGTGTTGCAGACATGTCAAGCGGTTATCAAATCGGAGAACTGTAAAAGAAAGAGAAGGAAAATTCATCGCATTCACACACAAATCTGCGCTAAACAGATCGTTGAACCACCGTCTTTTTGAGTCAGGACCGAAATTAGTGAGAGACTACTTTGAGTGGTTTTGCCTCGCTTCACATGAGATTGGCTACAGAAATTCATAGCACGCACTCAACCAAACAAAAGGCTATGGTAGAAAAAAAATTATTTTGCTCATGCAGGTTTTTGCGCGCTCTATATTTTGGTCCGTGTTTCTTTCTAAAATCATTTTAGAGATGCAAATCACTATGAATTATGGTACTGTAAAGTATATTTAAGCACTCCTATTATTTGAGACAGTGTTCTTCGCACCCTGGGGCTCAGTAAAATTAAAATTACAAACACCAAATATGTCTCAAACACTAAAGAAAACGCATATGCAATAGTACGACGGTAATCAAGAAAAAATGAAAAGAGGGGAAAGCTTCTAAAGAAACTGTGGTGCTGCGTCGACGGGAGAGTAGAGCAGGGTAATTTACTGTTATCAACTGAGTTGATAACGTAAGTTGGCCTTCGTTAATCAAGAGAGATATGAATTTCTTTAGACAATCGATAACAGTTCATTAAACACCGCGGAGATTAATTCACGTGAAAAACAAAAATAACTTCATGCAAGATAGCTCAGTTCATTTCAATTGTTTGGGTTGTTTGGTTGAAGGGAAAAAGTAGACAAAAAAACTTACCTCTTGCCTCGATTTGAGCCTCGTCACCAGGCAGAGGAAATCTAATTGATAACGAGCCTCGCTGTGAGTGCATAGTACTACTCAAAAAAATTTACTTGTAGTATGGGCAGGGTCCAGACTTAGCCGAGTCCAAAAACACTTAGGAATAAGGAGGACAATGTGCGACAGTTATTTAACATTTGATGCGTCATTTTTTCTATTCCTAGACTTGATTAGTTGGTAATTTTTTTTGCAATATAAATGCATAACCTAAAAAAATGAGCATGGGAATGAAAAGGGTGTTCCAGCCGGATGTATGGTGTATCCTGTCTAGGCATATCGTAACATAAACGTTGTCACAATAACTGAAAATGGAATAACGAGTTGTCGAAGGGGAACATATTAGTTCAATGCAGTTAGAGTGCGCAGTTTGGGTTCCTCACTTAAAATCTGATCAACTGTTTTTTTCACTTTGGAATTTCTAGCCAGGTATGATGTACCTCATCTGGGCATATCATAAAATGTACGATGTCAATATGACCGCGAATGGAACATTCATGGCACACACTGCAAAGGGTGCAGTGGCCTACACTTTCATCGATTACAACATGATGAAAATAAATGACAACTACAGGCTGTATTGGAAATACGATCAAAGCATGGACATGTTTTACTTCAAGATCGTGGTGAAAACAACAGGTTGGGTTGCCTTTGGCTTTGCCAATATGGTTGGAGGAATGAACGGTTACGATGTGATGGTTGGCGGAGTAAACGGCGATAAAGGATATATTGGGGTAAGGCACCTTAAACGTATGCATGTATATGCTACTCCTTACACCAGTAACGGTTGTCTATTAGAAGTTCTTTTAATAGTATCAAAAGAAACTTGTTTTTGTTCATGAGATATTTCCTGTTTTGTTAGGATTACATGACGAAAACTACCTCCCAACCTCCAAAAGATGAAAGTCAGGACTTCGTTTTGATGGATCAGGAGGAACGGGATGGCTACACAATGTTGTCATTCAAGCGTAAGAGGGACACTGGTGACGCGGCTGGCGACATCGTAATAAAGGTTCTGTAGTATTTACAGCTTTTAGTTTAATTGCTCTGGTTATTGGAGAGACTTTCACGCCTTCACTGGTCAAGAATTGTGTCATACCCCGCGCGAGGTGATTATAGCGCGGGCGCTAAAAGTGTGAAATTGAACTGGCTGCAACTGGCTTCTAGGAAAAAAGAGGAGAGAAACTCTGTAAAGCTGGAGTTCTGTTCACGCCATTGGTTAAATTGTTCCTCAGTAGCCTCAACTTCAACTCCCCGACATTGCTTGTAATTTAATTAGTTGGCTTGTTCCCACCATTTAAGATATTTAATGATGTTGTACCCCAGTTGGATTATTTTGTTGCTATTCGTTAGAGAGAAGTGCCCGTAGAAAGGAGCTAACACTTCGCGTCAATCTCTTTACCTCCAATTTTCGTTTTTCTTTCTGTAGAACACGGAAATGTACCTTATATGGGCTTTTCGCACAACCGATGACGTAATGAATGATGGCAGCTTTCAACAACACTCTCAGAGAGGATCAATGAAGGTCGTCATGGATTTCACAACACCTGACATACCTACTGAAAAATCTGGATCCACAGCGATGTACGTTCCATCCTTATTTGGAGTCCTTGCCGTTCTTTTTCTTAATTATGTGATCGGTGCCTAAGTTCCAAACGAACAGTCGACCAGGCTGACCTGATGCTCGTTAAACAAGCTGCAATAGTACTTAATCATCCAGTGCGGCAGCACTTTTTAAACCTGATTAATGCATCACTGTTTGGCATCAAGCTTCACATACTGACTTGTAAGAGTGGGTGGGTGGGGAGAGAGAGGGGTTGGTCAGTGCCAAGATTTGCCCTTAAGCTACGATTTTTCCTCATTAGTTCTTGTAGTTAACCATTTTTTCAATTCCATGTCATACTTTAATAAAGTTAAGGGAGAGTCGATCGACGATGTATTGTTACACGACGGCATGATTAGCATGAGATGAAAACAGTATTTGATGAAACTCTTCTTACTTGTCTCTTTTCTAAACTTTTTATCACGCTTTAATTTCCTCTTGAAACTCGCTAACCTCTCCCATCCTCCTTAAATCTCATTAGAAATAAGTTCACTCCTGGTTTGCATGTCTTATCACTGAATTTACCCCTGCAATTTTTATTTTTATTATTTATCATTTCACCTCGTTCTCTTTGTGTCTCAGTGGAAGGTTAAAGGTTCTCGCAGCTTGTGGGTCTCAGTATTAGGTCGCTTTCTTCGTCTTAAAACTTAGCA